CCTGAAGGCAGCCGTTCTAATTTGTTCCATGTGCACCCTTCTGTTTGCGTGAGTTCTTATCAAATGTATATTGTTGCACATTTATGTTTTGACTGCCATGCATTGTACTGTGCTGGAGGTCTCCCATTTTTTTTCTGATTTTTCACCCAGCACTATGATTTTAAGAGCAATCCATGGTGCTATGTGGATTCAGGTTTGTTTTTCCTTTACGTCGATTAGAGCTTCATGGTGCACGCCCACCACATTTACTTCTCCATTCCCCCAGGTAGTGGGGTCTCAGACTCCCCCCGACTCCGCCATCACAGACAATGCTACTGTGAACGTCCTTGATCACGTCCCTCCCTGACCTGTGTGCAAGTTTCACTCAGATGGAGAGCCAGGAGCAGTGTTTGCGGGACTTGGGTAAGTGTTCCTGTAATTTGGCTGTGAGCCACCAGCACCTGCTGCAGTGACTGAGGTCACCTGTCTTCACTTCTGGGCAACACATGGCAGCATCAGCTCTCATGTTTGCTGCTCCGAGAGGTGGAGAGTGACACCGCGCTGTTGTTTAAATCGCATTCCTCTCACTGCTGATGAGCTGCAGCGTGTCTTCACTGGCTGGCAGCCAATCGCGTTTCCTCACCTGCAAATCCCCTGTGCCTTCCTTCGCCCACTTTCTCTCGTGATTCTTGTCTGTCTTCTCCTTAGTTTGTAGATGTTCCTTGTAGATGCTAGATATGAGTCTCCTGTCAGTTTTTTTCCCAGCTTTATTGAGGTATACTTAATATACAAAAAACTGCACATAGTTAATGTGCACATTTTTATGAGTTTGGACAAATGCCTGAGTCTGTGATACCATCATCACAGTCAAGGTGATAAACATACCCATCATCTCCAAGATTTCTTGTGCCCGTTTGTGTGTGTGTGTGTGTGTGTGTGTGTGTGTGTGGTAAGAACACTTAACAGGAGATCTACCCTCTCAAGTGATAAGTGCACATTACCATGTTGTCAGCTACAGGCTCTGTGTTGTACAGCAGATCTCTAGCACTTATTCATATTGCAAATGTCTTCTTGCTCTTTGTCACCTGTTAGCTTTATCCATGATGCTCTTTGTTAATATAATGCATAATATTGATGTAATGGAATTGATCTTTTTTATTTACGGTTTTTGCCATTTTTTCTTTTTAAAGAATTCATTTCTTGTTCTTTCACAAAGATCCTACCACACTTTCTTTTACTATGTTTTTATCTTTCCCAGTTAGAATAATAAGACACCTTAATTCTCTCTTCAGACAGGGTACTGAGAGTCAAGTTTTCTTTTCATCTATTTGGAAAGAGTCTTTCAACAGCATCCTCTAAACAATTTGTCCTTTTCTGCTTGGTTTCTGGTGCAACTTAACCATATATGAACGGCTCCATTTCTGAGGTCTCCGTTCTGGAACCACTGGTCTGTTCATCTGTCCTTGCACTAATCCTACACTGCTTTACTTCCAAGACTTTGTAGAATCTCTCAGAATCTCAGAGGGTGACTTCCCCCACCTGCTTTCACTCTTCACTTCAAGGTTGACTTAGGTATTCATGGATCATTACTCTTTGCTAGAAATTTTAGAATAAGTTTATCATCTTTCTCAAAAGATCCAATTGGATTTTTGGAGAAGATTACATTGAATGTATAGATTAAATTTGGGGTAGAATCGACTTCTTTATGCTATTGTCTTTCTAGTTCATCCATTTATGTATATCATCTGCCATGTTTTCTATTAATTACATGCTTAATTGTTCTCCATGAAGGTCTTGTGTGCACGTGTTTAAATTAATTCCGAGATACTTGATAGAATATGTGTACGTTGAATAATGCCTGTTTAACTTTTTATTATTAACTAATGTTAAACTTACAAAAGTTGCAAAAATACAGAAAATTCTTATACTCCCTTCACCCAATTTCCTCTAATGTCAGCATCTTACAGAACCCAGTACAATGATCAGACCCAGGAGATTAACATGATTATAATACCATCTAGCAAACTACAGTCTTACTTAAATTTTTCCAGTTTTCCCACTAATATCCTTTTTCTATTCCAGGACACAATCCATTTCATTTATTTGTTATTTCAACTTTTCATTATCTTTCAGTTCTTAGTATTTCTTAATTTTCCTTTTAACCCAAAGATTAGTGAGTAACATGTTACTATGGCAACGACAAATGGTCCAACATAATATTTACTTTCAAATACATGGTATTTCAGGTATCCTCTTCTTATTAATTTCCAATTTTATTGCAATATGATCAGATAACCTGGAATTTTACAATACTGGCACTTGGAAATTTACCTAGACTTCCTTTATGACTCACACAAGGTCCTTTTTGGTGCCAATTCCATGTTCTTAAAAGGTGTTTGTGGGGGTTTTTCTTGGTGTATTGAATAAGAGTGTGTGTGTGTTTGTATATGTTGAATATACATTTTTAAGTAATGTATATATTAGCTATGTATATTAATATATATTTGTACATAATAGCTCAAGTATTAAGTAAAGTAACAGAATTAAGTCTGAAAATAACAGTAATTACTAAACATATAAATGCATTAAATGCACCAATTAAAGGAGAGATACGACCATAGATTGTATCACAGATTTTAACAGAATCCGATTCTGGTCATCCGCGGCCGTCCTCAATCTCAACTTCTTGAGTGTTTCCTAACTCTTTTCCAGGTGCTGTAGTAGGCACATTATGGGCATGATCTTATTTAATGCTCATAACAGTCTTGTCAGCCAGGGATTAGTATGATCAACTTCCTTTTAGGAATGAGAAAACTAAGGCTCAAAAAGACTGAGGAAGCAACCCAACGTCACATAGCTCTGAAGTTGGGACTCAACCCAGGTGTGGCTGAACAGAGACCCTGAGTTCCTACCACTGGGATTTTAAAATTATAGTAATAATAATAATTATTATTATTATTCATTGAATTCTTACTATGTGCCAGGACCTGTGCTAAGCATTTTAGATGCATGATCTTATTGAAACCTCAAACAGCTCTGTGAAGCACAGACCATTATTAGGAGCACCATTTTTCAGATGGACTAAGGAGGTGAAGGAGCCTCTCCGGGAAGTCCTCTCAGGAAAGGCTCACTAGAGACCCTGGACCTTCTTCCCTCTCCCCCAACAGGTGTGGCTGCCATGCTGGGGCTAAACCACACCCCCGTGTCTGAATTCATCCTCATCGGCTTCTCCCCCTTCCCTCACCTTCAGCTGATGTTCTTCCTGCTGTTCCTGCTGATGTACATGTTCCCGCTGCTGGGGAACCTGCTCATCATGGCCACCATCTGGAGAGAGCGCAGCCTCCAAACGCCCAGGTACCTCTTCCTGTGTGCTCTCTCCATCCCCGAGACCCTCTAAACCTTCACCGTCATCCCCCGCATGCTGGCTGACCTGCTCTCCACCCACCACTCCATCACCCTCACAGCCTGTGCCAGCCAGATGTTCTTCTCCTTCACATTTGGGTTCACCCGCTCCTTCCTGCTTACCGTCGTGGGCTACGACTGCTACATGGCCATCTGCCACACCCTGTGCTGCAAAGTGCTCATGAGCCCTGGTAGCTGTGCCTGCCTGGTGGCCTGGTCCTGGGCTGGTGGCTCAGTCACGGGGCTGGTGGTGACAACAGCCATTTTCCACCTCAACTTCTGTGGACCCAATAAGGTCCACCATTTCTTCTGCCATGTGCTGCCTCTCCTGAAGTTGGCCTGTGGAACTGATGTACCAGGGGTGGCCAAGGGCCTGCTGGGCTGCTGTCTCCTCATCCTCCTCTCCTACGCCTTCATCGTGGACGCCATCTTGAGGATCCCGTCAGCTGAAGGTCGGCACAAAGCCTTCTCCATGTGTGCGTCCCTCCTCACCGTGGGAATCGTGCACTACGGCTTCGCCTCTGTCATCTACCTCAAGCCCAAGGGTCCCCAGTCTCTAGAAGGAGACAGCCTGATGGGCATCACCTACACAGTCCTCACACCCTGCCTCAGCCCCATCATCTTCAGCCTCAGGAACAAGGAGCTGAACAACACCATGAGGAATACCTTCCTCAGCAAGCTCTTTCTCCAAAGCTCCTGAAGCGGCTGGTTTTGTGGCAGGGACTGTGGTGGATGGACACCCTTCGGTCTTCCATCTGTAAAATGGGAACACTATGCTTCACTGTGATGATTCCTGTTTGTGAATTCCCCCTTCGTCCCCCTCAGCAAGTGCTCTGTAAATTCCAGATGTTTGTTTTCTCTCCTTTCCCCCAGTCTGGTTGACCTCATTCCTCCTGGATCCCGTGGGGTCACAGCTCCCCAATATTGACCTCGTGTGTCAACTTCCTTCTGTTTCCTGTGCTGAGAGTGGGTTGTCCATGGAGGAGGGAATGCCCAGGTTGCTGTGTTGGGAACCTGTGTGCGTGGTTTGTCTCGAATGTGTCAATGAGGGATGCTTGCTCTGCCCAAATGACGCAAACATGCAGCAGTGATTTGGTGCCTACTGTATACCAAGCATTGTGTTCTGTGCTTTGGACACTTCATCTCTCTCATTGTGACTATCGTATTGCAGAAAGGAAAGCATTTTTGATGGAGGGAATTAGTTTTCATTTTCAGTTCCTCACATTTTAGGAGGAAGGGTGTCTCGTCCTATGAGTTGACTTTGTTCGCTGACCTGAGGATGCAAATTAGAGAGAGAGAGAGAAGGTATCTGCATTTCTCCTTGTGAGAAAAGAAATGTGTAGAGAGACGGGGCAGAGACCTGGAGAGGGATGAGGAAGTGGTGGCTGGGATGAGGGAAAGGGGAGGGACAGGAAGAAACACCCGATTGCTGCCAGTTGACCAGGACCTAGGGGAGGTGATGGGCCCAGTGATGGGTGAAGAAATTCAAGGAAAGAGCAGGGAGTCAATGGGCATTTTATAAGGTTTATAAGGTTGCCTAAGAGTGCCTGATGTAAATCCCCTTCCCCAACTCCCTCAAAATCCTCAATAAAAATCCACTTCTCTTTCATGTGTTGTGGAGTCAGATATATTGGGGGGACGCATCCCCAGGCTGTGCCCTGCCTCATAAAAGGCGCTCAGGTGGAGTCAGGCAGCCCCTTTTGGGTTACACCCCATTTTTAACTGAGGAAAGGGACACAGTGAGTTTCGGGACTTTCCCAGGGTCACGATGACAGGGAGGTGCAGGGATGCAGTGTGGGGTCAGCCGAGTGAGTCCTCCGTGGCAGGAGCGAGTCTAGTGTGTGTCTGCAAGCTGGGGGCACATCAGAGTCACCTGGGGGGATGGTTAAGTCACAGGTTGCAGGGC